TCAAATACAATGGGGGAAAGCATACCGTAGGCCAACTGTAAAGTCAGCTCAAAGCAACAGGCAAATTAGTAATACATAATTTACACAGAAAATGCTCCTATCTTTCCAATATTAAATCTGCGTCAAATAGAAGCCTGGGAGAAACATGGCGGGGCGGGGGGCGGGGGGGCACAGAGGAAGGGAGAGAAAAGGACGTTGGCGTAAATCTGAGCGAGTGCGTAACCTGCAGACGCCCGCTGTTAGTAGGGACACCACTGACTGAGCAGAACCGGCCCCAAACTCAGAAATGTGATGCTTCACGGAACAGTCCTCTTAAAAGGCCGGCCAGAGGCCCAAAATGTGGGTGATGTCTTCTGGGTACTGAGAACTTTTCAGCATCACCTGTGAACCAAGAAGGTGCGCTCAGGTCTGGGCGACAGAGCCAGGGGCGTCCCCCGCCCGCTGGTAGGTTCTGTTATCTCTGCTCGTCCACGTGTGGACAGCCCAGGAGACCCTTGAGGGCCCCAAAAGCTGGTAGAGAGCCCTCAGCCCTCCTGGGCTAGTTAGCGGGAGGGAAGGCTTAGCCACCGGGGGAGCTACAGACGTTCTCACGAGTTTCACCTTCAACGAGGCTCAACACCTAAATATGAGAAACAGAAACATCTGCCGCCTGACCACGAACCCGGCCGCAAGGTTAGCGGCGAGGTTAGAAAGACGTGTCTTCCCGAAGCCTGAGACGGGACCACCATCCGACCAAACCGTGAACAAAGCAAAAGGTAAACGAGAAAAGACCCCCGCAGGCTACGGTCGGGTAAATACCGTACACTGTATTTGTAACGTTGCCTGCGACCTACCGCGGTTTCAATAACTGCATGTGCGTGGCAGAAGGGACTGGCTTGCAAAGTGCTCTTTTGGCCTCTATTGATCCCTGGCTGTGGGCGCTTGCCCAAGCCCTACCGTCTACCCACTGGGAAGGGAACACTCATCCACAGGGTTAAATCTGCACACCTGAGGGGCGCTTGGGTGGCTCAGTGGGTTGAGCGTCAGCCTCTTGATCTCAGCTCAGGTCATGATCTCACGGTTCGTGGGTTCGAGCCCCGCGTCGGGCTCTGGGCTGACAGCTCGGAGCCTGGAGCCTGCTTCGGAGTCTGTGTCTCCCTCTCTGCCCCTCCCCTGCTCGTGCTCTCTCTCTCTCTCTCTCTCTTTCAAAAATAAATAAACATTAAAAAAAACTTTTTTTTAAAAAAATTGCACCCTGGAATCTAATGTGAGTACACACATCTCTCAAATGTTGGCTTTACTCTGCTGAACTTTCTCCTACTGTCTCTCATGTCTGCAGATCTGTGATGAAAACCAGAATTACCCCAGGGGAGGAAAGCCACTAAAGACACAGCTGAGCCTCGAATACGAGGTTCAGAGCATAGGGAGTGTGCTGCACATGCGTGTTCTGAGCACAGGGTAGGTGTGGGGACACCAGGTACGTGTCGCGACTACAGCCTGCAGTGTGAAGAAGACAGAGGGCTAAGGTTGCTATGCCACCCAGATACATTTTTTTACGTATTTTTAATACGCATTTGCACTTTCCAGAAACGCAAGTCAACCCGGGGAAGGTGACACTTTTGGGGGAGGGACTTTACCAAGATTCTTCGCCTGTTAAATCATGTCACCAACCCAAGCCGCTCTGGGGGTCTGAGTCCACTTCAACCCTCTTTCTCCCCGTCTGCACTGGCTGCTGCAAGGCCCCCGGGGATGCTCACAGCCTCGTGTGCCCCCACCTCCCAGCCCTCCCACTGCAGCCGACCCAGAGTGTGCACAGACCAAGGTACCGACCACCTCTGTCCACATGACCGCTTTCCATCCTCCCCGTACGGTCCCGGGGCGTCTAGACTTAACACATGCAGGTAAGCGATACTGCCTTTCCAATTCATTCAGGGCATTCCCAAATACTTGCTAGAAAAAGGGGGTGTGCCAGGGCTGAAGGTTCAGGAACTGTTGACCTAGAAGCTTGATCTTGGACAAGTCTCTTGGCCTCCTGGGCCTCCTGTGCTACGTGAATAAAATCAAGGTCTGGACCAAGTCCAAGTCCTGCTCTAGGACGAAACAGTCCAGACTGAGCAGCTGGGGGCAGAGGATGTGGATGGACGGCCCATCAGAAGGGGAAAGGGCAGAGGGTAGCCCCCAGCCCCGTGCACACGCGCATGTGCACACACATACGCCCCCCTGCTGCACATCTGTGGCTACAGCAAAAGCTCTGGGGCACCCACAAGTCTTCTTCTGTCATAAACAGTCACTGGCTGGGAAGTTCGCCCCGGAACTTCAGTAACGACAGGTTCTCGGTGCACGGGGTCGTACACTAAGCCACAGGCTCTTCGAAGGACGGGCCCACGGGGTATCTGGTGGCCCCACGAGGCCTGCCTAGCACCTGCCACCACTGCTCTCCAGCTGTGCCTACAGAGGACCACATCTGTAGTGCCACCAAAATGGAGACCGAGTTGTGGCATCGGGAGAAGACAGGCGGGCACTTCTCCCACACGGGGCGACGTCTCCTGCCTCACTATCGACGCCCACAGTTTTCTGAAGCTTCCCAATTGTTATTTTCCCTCAACCAAAGCTGGGAGAACAGAGACTGCGGACGAGGAAAGTGAGCAGGGAGGCATGTAGAGGACGGGCAGCAGGGCACTGAATGTGGAAGCTCAGGGTCAGGCAACGGCTCACCAGCCTGAAGAGCCAACCGCATTCCCCTTATTCGTTTTCTCTGTTTAAGGTTGAACTTGAGGGTCACAAAAAGAGATGTGAAATCGAAATGTGCATGGCATTTGGGCAGCAATGGCACCCAGAAGACGGCGACTCTGACCCCGTGGGCTCCTCTGGGGCCCAACGCTGCCACGAGGCCCTGGGGGCCGTCCCGGGAGCCCAGCCGGGGCTGCCCGATGCCATCCAGGCTCCACACTGTTCTCAGGTGCCTGCCCCGCAACGGCAGGCTTGGAGCCCTGTCCTCAGACTGAATGTTCTGTGCTCCTTTCTAAGCGAGTCACAGAAGTGGTCCCAGTGAACCACACCTTGACCACCATTGAACTTCGGGACAGCAAAGGTGGCTCTCCGAGCAAGCCCAGGCCGCGGTCCGGAACAGCCTCACGCTGACGCCTGACGCTCCCCTCCCGGCTCGAGCCCCCGCCACATCAGGACTAGAGGGGCTCAAGGACCGTCAGAGGACGGTGTGCTGTCTGCAAACCGGGTGTGACTACAAAAAGGCCAGCTGACTCAGATTTTTATCAAGTCAATGCCAGGAGAAGGCACCACAGCGGATAGGAGAATCCTCCTATGGATTCCCCTGGCAGGAGTTCATACCTGTGTGTACACGCATACCCAGACAAGTACACGACTCACAGGAAAACACACAACCATATACTCACAGCGAGATCGACACATACACAACCGTATACACATATGCAAATACCTACATACACACAGATGTCTACACATGCACACAAGGGACCCACAACCATATGCACGTATGCAAATATCTACATACACACAGATGTCTACAAACACACACACAACCATATACACAAATACATACACAACCATACAAACGTATGCAGGTATCTACACATAACACAAAAACATATGCATACACATAAATATACAATAATCATAGACACGTACAGATACGTACATATACACAGATGTCTACATATACACAATGATACACAGTCATATAGACACATAAATATACACACAACCATATATACATATGCACAGATATCTATACATATACAAATGTATACATATACATACAACCATACACACATATGAATATACACACAGCTATTTACACATCTGCACAGATACCTGCACATATACACAAAGACAATCATATACACATACACAGATATCTACACACCTACATACCCACAGATATATACACAACCATATACACATATACACGAATATACAATCATATGCACAACTATACACACGTATGTAGCTATCTACATATACAAATATTCACATACATAAATATACACACATACATACACAGATATCTATACATATACACAAATATATGCATACACAGATATACACACACCATATGCTCAAATAGACACACAACCGTATACACATACGCACAGATATCTACACACATACAACCATATACACATACACAGATATCTGTGCATCTATATACACACAACCACATACACATACCCACAGATATATACACAACTATATACACATATACACATATATAGAACCATACACACCTACGCAGATATCTACACACACAAATATTTAGATACATATAAATATACACACAATCATACACACACGATATCTACATATACACACATGTCTACACATACACACAACCATATATGCATACACAGATATCTACAAATACACACACAAATGGACATGCAACCATATACATATACACACAAATAGATACACAACCATACACACGTATGCAATATCTACACATACACACAAATACGCACACAATTATATACAAATATCTACATATACAGATGTCTACAAATACAAATACACACAACCACACACACAGACGAGTACATACAGAACCATATACCAATATCTACACCTACACAAATATATACACACAAATACACACAACCATATACACATACAAATATACACACCCATCTACACATACACATATACATACACATAGATATATATACAACCGTATACATATATACACAAATACACACAATCATACAAATGTCCATACATACACAGAAATACGTACACACACAAATATACACACAGCCATATACACAAATGTCTACACAAATAGACGCATGCACACAGGTCTACATATACAGATACCTAGGCATACAAATATACACGCAGATGTCTACACAGACACACGAATACATACATACACAGATCCCCCTTTAAACAACACAGCCTTTCGGCTTCTCTTATGCCAGTGTCTGCTCAGTATTCACGCGGTGCCCCGAAACCCTGCCGCGCCCAGCCACGCGCCCGTCACTCACCTCTCCGTGTCAAAGTACGAGTCTATGTAAGAATGCGGGGCACCTGCCACGGCGAAGTTGCTGCTTCCAGTGTCCACGAGAATCTGCAGCTTTTATTTTGAAGGGGAAAAAATAGAAACTATCAGGTTACTGGAAGAAGGCAATGCTCTCGAAGAATTCTTTCTAAAACTAAGCACCAAGAACAAGGTATTGCTTGGAAAAAAACTTGTATCAATGAGAAATTTGTGTTAAAGGTCGTTATGAAATTGAAATCTGAACAGTCCATTAAGAAGCTAACAGCAGGGAGGGGCACCTGGGGGGCTCAGTCGGTTAAGCGTCCGACTTTGGCTCAGGTCATGATCTCACAGTTTGCGGGTTCAAGCCCCGTGTCGGGCTCTGTGCTGACGTCTCAGGGCCCGGAGCCTGCTTTGGATTCTGCGTCTCCCTCTCTTTCTGACCCTCCCCCACTCACACTCTGTGTGTGTGTGTGTGTGTGTGTGTCTCTCTCTCTCTCGAAAATAAACATTAAAAAAAATTTTTTTAATACACAAACCTTAAAAAAAAACAGAAGCTATTGATGAGATAACCCAGGTGGGTAAGTATTTACCTAGAATTCTCTCAACACTTACACAGCTGCTCTGGGAAAAACCCTCAGTTTTGCCAAATCCAGTGTTTTCCACGCTTCTCTCACTTGACCCCCTCCCTCAGCAGAGTCTTGCCCAGTCAGCCACCCTGTCCTGGAAATACGGACTTCGTTCTGGATTCCGGGACTCTACGCTCCCAGTTTTCCTCTGACTTCCTGCCTGCCCACTTCAGTCTCACTGCTGGGTGCCTCTCCTCTGCCCCGTGTGCGGGAGTCCCCCACAGGTTGGCCCTGCAACCGCCAGGCACCAGCCACACTCGCCCCGTGGCAGCGACCTCATCAGTCTCACGGCTTTGCCCTCCACACGCCCGTGACTCCCCTACATCTCCCACGCGGGCACCCCCAGGCCTTCCCCGCTCAACACCTCCACTTGGATGCCCAACAGCCATCCGTTAGGGGTTGAAATGTGTCCCCCAGAAAGTCACACCGCGATCCTAACCCCCCAGAACCTGTGACTGTGACCTGACTTGGAAACAGGGTCTTTGCGGATGCCATTAAGATGAGGTCATTAGGGTGGCCGTTATCCGACAGGACTGCGGTCCTTACAAGAGGAAAACACCATGTGAAGATACAGACACACAGGAAGAAGGCCAGGGGCCAGGGGCAGAGACTGGACAGAGGCAGGTGCAGCCAAGGGGCACCAGAGACTAACGGCCACCACCGGCAGCCAGCAGACGCAAGGAAGGACTCGACCCAGAGTCCCAGAGGGAGGGCAGGCCGGCCGCCACCCTGACCTCAGACTTCTGGCCTCCAGACTGTGAGAGGAGGCATTTCTGTTTCAGACCACCCAGTCTGTGCTTCACGATGGCTACCCCAGGAAACAAACACACTGTCTCACGTCTGACGTGTCCAGAACCGAGCCCCCGGCACCCCCAGGCCTGCCGCGTCCATAGACTTTGTTGCCATTTTGTTAACGGTGGCTCCGTCGCGTCAGCTCAGGCCAGACAGCGTGGCGACACCTTCACCGCTTCTCTCCCCCATGCCCCACATCCAGACCCCCTCCTCCAGGCTGTATTCCGTGCCTGCCCGTCTCTCATCACCTCTGCTGGGACCAATGTGGCCAGTGGCATCACCGTCTCCCGCCTTTCCCAACCAGCGTCCCCGTTTTCTGCCTCAGTCCGCTCCACCCAGCGGCCACCGTGACGCTACAAAAGTGTAAGTCAGAGTGCACCACCCCCTGCCCTCCCTCGGCTCGACAGCCTCAGTCCTCACACCGGCTGCCAAGTCTCCGGCGCCCCGACTTCACTCCACCCCCACCATGCTGTTCCGTGGACATTCCAGACTGGGGCCGTCCCTGCCCCCCGACCCGCTGCCTGTGCCAAAGTGGACTGCCCTCCCGGGGGGACCCGGAATGCGGTGTGCCCTCCTGGGGGGAACCGGGACACGGAGTGCCCTCCCGGGGGGACCCGGGACACAGAGTGCCCTCCCAGGGAACCCGCAGTGCACATCCCCCCATGTCCTCCAAGGCTTTACTCAACGGGCACCTCTCAATGTACCCTTCTGAATGGCAACTCCCTGCCTCTGCTGGGCACCCCCTTCCCTTCCTCCCTCTGCTCCCATGATGCTCATGCCCTCCTGGGGTCACAACAGCAATGGCAGGCATCTAGCAGCACCTACTATGTGCCAAGGACTCGGCACCTACTATGTGCCAGGGACTCCTTACAGTGCTGCATAGACACTAACATGCTGAACCCTCACAAGGGCCTTCTGAGGGCAGCGTCGACACCCTTATTCACAGATAGGGCAAGCAGGTGCAGAGGGGCTGACCAACCTGGCCACGCACGGGTGTGTGCGTGGCAGGGCCGGGTCTGAACCCACGCCGTCTTACTCCAAACACATTATTTTAACCCACCTACCCACTTCCTGGCTCTAGGAGCTAGCCCTAGAGTGTGAGCTCTCAGGCGGGGATATGTGCTGTTTTGTTCGCTGCTCTGTCCCCGTGCCCGGAACGGGGCCAGGCACAGAGCAGACGCTCAAACATGTGTTGGGCGAACAGCTAAATGATTCTCAAAGGTTAAAAAAAAATCAAAGACACCAACTTTTCCTTTGAAAGACAATACAGATTCGGGAAAAAATAAACAAGGTGCAGTTGGGGCGCCTGAACGTGCTCTGGGCAGGCTCCGCGGAGGCCGTTTTAGGCTGCCAGGCAGACAGCAATTCTGGATCCCGCTTCCCCGATCGAAGTGCCCTGGCCTCCCCCTGCAGGAGGCTGCGGACATGGCCGGCAGTAACGACCCGTCCTGGGAGCACCTGCCCTGGAGCTGTGGGCACAGCGAATGCACTGCCCACGTTTTCCCAAACGAGAGCCGATTCTGCGACCTCGGAGGGTGCCCTTCCCAGCACTGAAGATCCCATCCATGACACTTGGCGGAATGGCGGACAGATCTGGGGCCCGAGGCCTGGCGTGACTCTAAAACGTACTGAATAAAGAGATGATAAAAATCACTCGATACGCCTTAACTTTAGGAAGTGAATTCTGCCCTTCGTCCGCATCTACTAACACGGAGTCACTGGAAAAGGTGCGAAATCTCACTCCCCTACAGAGAGGAGATGTCAGACAGCCTGCAGTTTGAATAGAAGTCATCTGGTTCCCCGTCCAAGCATGTGATGCCCAACAGCCCCGCGGCCGTCGCCAAGTCTGCGTGTACTTGGGCTGGACCGGAAGGGAGCTGCAGAGACCTCGCGTGCCTCCAGCAGTCAGGTGCGCCCGGGGGGAGGAGTTCGTGCGCAGGTCAGCCGGGAGGGCCGGATACTCCCACAGGGCAGAGCTCTCCGCTCCCACTCTCAGTGTCAGTGACTCAACACAACATGATCCTCAAAGCAGGCTTATCGGAATCTCTGCGCAGGTTTTTAAAAAGTCCCTTCACATTGGGGCACCTGGGTGGCTCAGTTAAGCGTCCGACTCCGGCTCAGGTCATGATCTCCAGGCTCATGTGCTGACAGCTCGGAGCCTGGAGCCTGCTTCCGATTCTGTCTCCCTCTCTCTCTGCCCCTCCCCCACTCATGCTCGTGCTCTCTCTCTCTCTCTCTCTCTCTCAAAAATAAACGTAAAAAAAATTTAAAAAATAAAATAAAAATAATAAATAAATAAACGTAAAAGCAATCCCCTCAAAATTAGTTCTTTTAAGACAGCAGCCCATCCCACACACGTCCGACTCAATACATTTTTCTTAATCCTATGGCTTCCCATGTCCCATTTCCATTTTGATCCCGTAGTTTACGTTTTCATGGAGGCCTCACACTTAGGATGGCTGATGAAATCGTCGGCCGCTGGTGACCGAGTCAACCTCCAGCCCGTCTGCCCTCCCGAGGCGAGCCTGAACTCCCAACTCCCCTCCCAGGTTGGTTCCCCATCCCGAGAGCAAGCTCCATTAACGTCACTCAGGTGTGGGCGGACGGGGGCTTGCTCTGAATAGCAGTCCTATCCCTGGGGGAGCTCCTCGGGTTTCAGGAGCTCTGCCAGGAACTGGACCAAGATCAAACATAGATTTCTTCTAGTAAGTCGCAGTATCACATATGGCCAATGTGACAACAGCAAGGATGGCACCTTTACCCATCCTGGGAACGAACTGCCAAAATGCAACCTGTCAAGCACCAAGGCTTTTGTCCCAGCAGCAGACACTGGGTCCAAGCTGACCCACGCTCAGCCGTGCAACACACGGGATCCCGCTTCCAGATTTAAATGGTTCCTGAGGACAAGAAGAGCTTCTCAAGTTGCTTGGAGGAAAGCAGCAGAGAAACAAAGGAGAAGGGTAAAACCCCAGGACTCCTTCATGAGGCCAATCGGGGAATTCTACACCTTTAAAAACGGGGAGTGAGGGGCGCCTGGGTGGCTCGGTCAGTGAAGCATCCGACTCTTGATTTCAGCTCAGAGCATGATCTCGTGGTTCACGGGTTCGAGCCCCACGTCGGGCTGTGCGCTGAAAGCGCGGACCCTGCTTGGATTCTCTCTCGGCCTCTCTCTCTGCCCCTCCCGTGCTCATGCTCTCACGCCCTCTCAAATAAATAAAAGAAGAAAGTGTGGCAAGACATTATCAATCACCCGAAAAATAAAACAACAAAAAACAATTTCACAACAGTGAGGAATACTTCATCTGTCATTAAATCACAGGTGAGAAAACTCTAGAATCCTCAACATGAGCATCCTTCCTGTCCACACTCATGGTCGGTCAGGAAAAGCGTGCCATCTTTACGAGCGCTTCTGGGTCTCCAAGCACCCAGCCACCCAGCAGGAAAGGCCGGCTGCCTGGGGGCATCCCACCTCCACACCCAGTGCTTTTTTACTACAAGCGTGGTCAGAGGCACAGTCGCCTAGGAGAATTTCTGGGTAGACATCCACCCCCCCAACAGCCTCTGCATCTTACCAGAACTTTCACACACCCCTGCGCTTACGTCTACCGCAACAAACAAAGCCCCGCTTTGCAGAGGCAGGGGGACACGAAAGCAGAGAAAGCTGCACCAGAATACAGACTCCATTCTTTTACACAGCCGACTCCTAACCGTCCAGGCATCTGGTACGACCCTCTCTTTCCCAGCGAGTTCAGCAGGGCTCAGCTTGCAAGAAAATTCAATTTGAGTCATGGCTCGGCAAAGCCGGCCACCTCAGTCGTTCCTGGAGCAAAGGATCTGAGGAGAGAAATCACCCCAATAAATGAGGCAGTCCAAAGTCAGGCAAGGGACGGATGTCCAGGGAAACCACCGTGGGTTTGTGTTTCAAGTAACATCTCTGCACAGCAACAAGCCGACATTTTTTTCTGTGCGACGATGCTGGAGACAGACGTCGTGTGTGCTGACGTCCCTCCATAGCTCCCCTTTTGGGAGGAATCCAAGCCACAAGGGAAAAAAGGTAGTGCCACTCGCCCCGTACCTCTGCTCTGCAACAAGCTGAACCTCCGAGGCTCAGGGTACCGGTTTCTTAGCCTCACTCCACGCATTCACACCGCCTTCTGCGGCATCCTTCATCCTGAACTTCCAAAAGCATTTTCTGCTTCCTTGGGTTCAAGTCCACACACCCATGATGCTCTAAACCCCAGGACGCTCAGCCCCATCAAGGAACGTTGAAGATGCAGATAGATTAACATTAAAAAAAAAAAAAAAAAAAAAAAAAAGGTCCAGAACTGCAGGAATTGACAGGACAAATTTTTTGTCGCTCCGTAAAAACAATAAAAACTCCAAACACTACCTGGAGTCACTGCCCTGTGCCTCCCAGCACAGCCAGGCATCACTGAGCTAAACTTCCGTCTCGATTACAAGCCTGTAAGCAGCACAGGCAACTACGACCAGTGCCCCCGGAAGCTCCAGAAATATTACCTTCCTACTTTTCCCACCACAGCCTTCCTTTCTCATCCCCCCTGCAGATACTTCCCTCCTCTGTGCTCTTGGAAACGCCGTACACGTTGTTCCTAGGAATTCTGTATCCCCAGCCCCTGGCGCACCATTTCCACACTGGACGGCGCCCCACGGTCTTCTCCAGGGGACATCCCAGCACGGGGCAACCTGCAGGGGAGCAGGGCCTAGGTGGGATTCGCCGCTTCGGCCCCAGTACCTTGGACAGCGCCCAGGGCATCTTGGCCGCTGGATAAAGTTGTGAAAGCCGTGAACAAGTCACTGCATATTCTGGGCAAAAGAAACTTGTTTATTCATTTATAAGACAAGTCTGTATTGCACACCCACCAATAATACACAAAATATCATAAGGCAAAAGATCTGAGACCGTCTATTCTAGAAGACGAGAGAGAAGACATAGGAGACTCCTACTACCCCTAAGCAAACACTTTTCCCTTTGGCGTGTACTTCTTCAACGATACTCTCCAAGCCCAGCAGCCCCGGCTAAACCCGCGCGATGCCATTCTACAAAATAATCCTGAAGCAAGGACACCATTCGGCACACTGGCGGGTGAGGACTGGACAGGTTTCGAAATGTGAACGGCCAGTGTCCCCACGACAATGTGCTTCTGAGCCACTTTGCTGAGCGGTGACAGAGCCCCGGATCCAGGGGGCCCCACCTCTCACGAGCAGCGACACAGCCCCGGATCCAGGGGCGCCCCACCTCTCACAAGCCTGCGTCTGGGCAGGACTCCACCTCGCTGCCTGTGCCTTGCTGCTCCCTGGTGCAGACTCTCAGTGAGCCAGCAATACCTGCTTGTGCCAATCACACATGCAACTCTCTGCAGGAGGTGGGAAGACTGAGGTCAGTCCTCAGTGGGCCACCACCACAAACTCCAGGACATCCCAAGGGACCTCTGGCCAAGGGCTGGTTCCAGAGCAGTTTGAACCTAACGGGTTCTTCAGGACGTTCCCTTTAGGAGTGTCCTTGGGGACAGTCAGGACTTTATCCTCACGCCCTGGCCTGCCTAGACAAAGCTCACTCATTTTTAAAATGGCACCTGCTGTGGGGTTTTATTTTCCTCATTGTGTGTGGGTGCGATGCTGACGATGACGATGCTGATCCTGGCTGTCTGGGTCTTTACTGGTAGCTTTTCTCCAAGTAGCTTTCCTTTCAAAGAGCTTGAAAGTTGCTTGAGGGCAAAACAGATTTTCCTGTCTCCTTTTGTCATTCTCCACAACGACTACCTCAGGCATCTGCTAATCAGCTGACCTGTAGGGGTAAGAACACACCTGGGAGAAGGAGCACCTGCCAAGAAGCTGGAGGGAGATCGAGATATCCTGATATGTGTGTGCAAAGTATTTAGGTTTTCTAGAAATGGCTGGGGGGGGGGCTCACTTCATGTCCCAGGTGCTCTACAAAATAACCACACGTTTACCTCTTAAATTATCCAAGGATAACCAATGTTAGAACAAGATGATGGGGGCACCTGGGTGGCTCAGTCGGTTAAGCATCTGACTTCAGCTCAGGTCATAGATATCACGGTTCATGGGTTCGAGCCCCGCGACGGGCTCTGGGCTGACAGCTCGGAGACTGGAGCCCGCTTCGGATTCTGTGTCACCCTCTCTCTCTGCCCCTCCCCTGCTCACACTCTGTCTCTCTCAAAAATAAATAAACATTAAAACATTTTTAAAGGAATTAAGACAACAGCAGAGGTTCTGGTGCCCACCCATGTGCCCTGGTATTTACTGGAGCTTCCGGTACATTCTCTAGCTGCAGGAGCAAAGACCCTTCAAGCATCCAGGGCGCCATGAAGTGCCAGGAAGTGAACACAGTTTCGGATGGCCTGAGACCTCCACCTGCCGGCTCCTCACCTGGACAGCTGGACAGCGTGCTCTGCCGCCTCCCAGAAGTCCGGGCAGCCCCAGACCCAGCTGTTCCCTGCAGTCACAGGCTCCTCCCTGCCTCACTGCCTTGCCCCCACCAGTGTCTCAGGGCAGGGAGAAACGCGAGAAGGGTGACTCCAGCAAACCTTGCCTTATGTGCCCCAGAGACCAAATATGCTTAAACTCAGAGACCCTGAACGGAACGAAAGCCAAGTGTGGTCAGGAAAGCGAAGAGCCCTCCAAGACGACGACCCACCTGACCGTTCTACCACCAGCCGAAACCTACATCCAGACTGTGCGTGTCTCCCACTGTCTGTCCCTCCTTAATCTTCTGCTGATGCATGGGGCAATCACCTTGCAGAAAGTCATTTGCTCGTCGCTGCAGGAGGGCAAAACATCGAGTTAAAGGAAAGAACTGGGTGACGCGTCCAGTTAGCGATTAGCAGCTGGAGATCTCTCAGATATCACTGTCTCTTTTTCAGCACGTTAATAGATAGGAAAATGAGCAGATCGTTTAAATAATGGCTCATTGAACACAACGATTCCTAATTACATTAGCCGCCCATCTGCTGAAGTCGGCCGGCAAGCAGAACCCACAAGCAGCGGCATTTTCCGGCCCAGCTACGCGGGCTGTTTGCCCACAGTTATTCCGCGTGATTATAGGCGCTGATCTTGTTAACCAGGTTCTTTCTCCGCTTCGGTTCTGGAGATGAATCTCATTTACTTAAACACATCTTGTTGAAGAAAGCAAAAATAATTGCCACGCACCATTTCTCCACAATCTAAAATTAAGGTTGTTTTATAAAGAACGGGGTGGGGGGGGAATCACTTTCAAAGGGCCCCACTTAACACAAACAGATGTTACCGAACTCAGCTAAGAGGAGCTTGATTATACGATTTATTCAGGCTCCGCGCTCACGCACGCTTGGGCTTTCACTACTGCAACGAGGCTCCTACTAGAAAAACACACGTCAAGGGCCACATGGATTCCTCAGCTCCTTTTGGAGGAAAAAAACAAAACAAAACCAGCAGTGAAGGTTTTCCACAGGGTGCTCAGGGCTTGGCAGGTTAATCCTGGCCGTACAGGTGGAGGTTAGGAGCGCGGGATCTGGGGTGCGGGAGGGTTGATGCGGGGGTCCCTGTTTTAAGAACCGAAGTGAACCCCAGATCAGACACGGCTGATCTCCTTCCGGACACAGGAGTTACGGCTCCCTCTGCAGTGAAAACCCATCCCCGGGGTGGTTTTACCGCAGGGAGGGAGTGGTCCCTGAGTTTTGAAACTTTCCAGACACAACCCCCCCCCCTGGTAGCAAGACTGGAGAGGCAAAAGGTGGGGGAGATTTCATCACACATCCAGAGCCCGGGCCCTTAATGATGTCCATTCATAGGCTGCTGGCTTCAGGTTCATTTTCCGCCAACGGTCCCAGGATACGCTCTGCACTTTCTCTAAAGCAGAGCAGCATGACAATATAGTGGCTTCAGGGTCTGTGACGCCTGGATTTGGGCGCTGGCTTAGCCTCCTACTGGCTGGCTGTGGGGGCTCAGGTAAATGACACACCCTCTCTGGGCGTTGGCGTCCTCATCCACCCGTGAAGCGAAAGGCTAAAGGCTGCTGTTCTGAGGGGCACCTGAGATCGTTCATGCGTGGTGCGCCCAGAATTGTGCCCTGCTCACCGGGATGTTTTAACTTCTCAAAGGGGTTGGAGCGACTCTGTCCGCCCTCGTCTGCGGGCTGACTTGCATCGCGGTGTATCAGCGCCAGAACTGGTACGGGGTCCCCAGCAGCCCTCCCCGGGGAGGGCACTGCGGCCACTCCCCTGCAGCAGGCGGTGCCCACGTGAACGCGGCCATGTGCCAAAACACCGGGATGGTGGCCTGGGCACCAGGAGCACCCACACTCGGCTCAGACTCTTAAACCCCAGGGCCAGCGAGGCCGCTTCACTCCACCAGTCCTTCGTCCACCCTCGGTCCCCCGGGGGACTGGGACCCTCCACCTCCTTTCCTCTTCCCTCTGCCTCCATTTCCACGAGTCTCTGTGTCCCGTATGTTCCACGCGCCGGACCTTTCCTCAAGCTGTTCCACTTCCTCTGCCTCCTTGGGTCACCCCAGCAGCTTCGATGCACTAGCCCTGAGCACAGAGCTCAATAAAGGTTTGCTGAGTCAATGAATGAGTGGTGCCGTCTGTACTCAGAGCTGGAGCCAGTTAATTTCCGCCCTCCGGATGGGTTTTCCTACGGTCTGATGCCCTCAGGGCTTCGGCGGTTCCACTGGGCTCCCGGTTTCTCTGCCACAGCGCCTCTAGTGGCCGTCCTTACCCTCTGGGGCCACCGCGGAGTGGAAGTCACACTTGGGTGATGGGTGACGGGGGAGGGGGGCTGTGGCAGGACCCGCGGGGCCCGCGCCCCACCCTCAGCAGCCTGACCGCCCTTCGCACCTCAAGGCTAACCAGCAAAGGTGATGTTGGTGAACAAGATGCTGGTGAACAGCCTGCACAACTCGGAAGCTCCGAGTTCTTGCCCACGCTTCTCCCAGCCAGCCCCCCGGAGCGCAGGAGGGCGGCAGAGAGATGGGCTTTCCCGCTGATGGGAAGTCCACGTGCCCTGGGCCCGCCCCCACAAGGCAAAAGAACCGTCTAAGCACCTACGGCCTCAAATACCCTTTTGTCCCCCGTGGAAGACTCAATGGCGGTAGAGCGTGCGGGCGCTGCCCGGATTCCCCACTGCCCGGCTGCGAGAGGTCACCTGGCCTCT